AATTTGAACGTCTACATGTTTCAAAATGTTAATTAATTCTTTTATACATTTAAAAGTTAATTCTTATACTTTTATTTAAAAATAATAATTCTCATGCTTGTTTTAAATTTAATTTTAAAAAAAGGATTAACCATTTCAAAAATTACAAAGTATTTAAAAAATTGTTCAAAACCAACTTTGGTTTTACATCTATTAGCGCACATAAGTTGAACCAAATTGTTCATTTGCATTCTTTTTAGCTGTCAGCATATATGATGAATTCCTCATATTCTTGTAATTAAAAAAATGTCCAAGAAGAAAAGTGCAAGATCAATGTCATAAAATAATGAAAACCAACAGTAAAAGTGGATTTTAATCATTGATTCTAATAAGATTAAAAAATAAATTAATAAAATAACACTAGAATTCTCCGGAATCAAGTTGGGGTGCCTAGATCGTGACTCAGCTCGACCAACAACATGAATAAATAAGGTTATTTCCTTGGCTAGATCATATGATCTCTATGTGCTAGCAGATACTAAATGCTAACTAGAAACTCACATCCATATATTACAAATTACCGACATGTTCAACGACAACATTTTTTGAGGCCTGAATTCCAGCAACAAAGAAAAATCCAGACAACTATTTGTATATTTAAAAAGAATCAAAACTCTGTGGAACGGTGGAGATTGGAGAAACAGTGAATGCAACACCCCCTTTAGTATATTTTTTTAATGCAAAATCTTGTGTGTTCTTTGGCTTTTGGTGTTATAGGACATGCACTGTACGTGCTTGCACGTATACATACTATCATCACATGTTGCGTTGTCCCTACAAATCACCTGTCAAGTACCTTAACTTTTTTGTTTTACGAAGAGGTCCCTTTGTAGTTTGTACTTACCGGTAGAGTTAAGGCAGATATTGTATTTTAAGATTGAGATTGTATTTAGTGGACCAAATTGATTTATTAACCCTTTTAGGAGTTAGAATATAAATTTATCATTGTATTAAATTAAAAAATATATATTTTTAAAGGATTAAACAAAAATTATACCATTTTTAAATAAAATATATATATGTCTTTGGCTCTGCCGTGGCACACTAATTCGGTTTATAAAGTTATATACAGAATAAAAAGACCATAAAAATTCATACAAATAATAAAAAACCAAGGAAATATATTTTTTTGGTAAAAAAAATGTTTAGGTCAAGGGTGGCTCTCCCATTCTAAGGTCAAGGCATACTCAAGAATCAATTGAGATTTACATAGGAATTTATAGATTGACCACCAAGAATGACGGTGATAGGATTCAAACTTAACCTTACAAGCTCAAATTATTGAATCTCAACTATTTGTATCAATACTCGTCGGCATTCAAGGAAGTATTTGGTACACAAAATATAAGTTTAAAGTATATATAAAAATAAGTTTAAACACGAGTATTTGGTACACAAAATATAAGTTTAAAGTATATATAAAAATAATTTTAAACTCTCAAAACATTTTGTAAATATTTACACAGGTATTCATATATAATATAATACACATTATAAAAATTTAACGTGGATAATAAATTATAAATTGATGTGGTAAGAAATTATATATATATATATATATATATATATATAATTTTTAAAATTTTATATAAAAAGTTGATGTTATAAACAAAAAGAAGTTTTCGCACGTAAAATTATTATTGTTATTATAAAATTAACATGATGATTAATTATATTCAATTCAATAAAATCTATAAATTATGATGATTGTCTAAACTCGTTAGAATTGTCATTGCAATTCACTTGTATAAACGTTAATAGAGCACCTCTCATTAACTAATTTTTTATTTTTTAATGTAAAATCAATTATCAAAATCAAACTGATAAAAAACATAAAGGTTAGAGAAGATGGTTTTTTTAGGAGAAAAATATATTTTTTAGATTTTTTATAAGGACGGTAAAATATTTACAAACTTTTGAAGATTTAGGGGTTCATTTTTAAATTTATCTTTCTTAACATATCGCATCATTAAACTATAAGTTAACACTTAACAGTCTTAGCAACTAAAATGTCATATATTGATAACTTAAGTGCCCAAAATCAAACACTTCCAAAAGGGATCACTTGTGTAATTCACCCTATTTTCATATATAGATAAAGAAGCCCATAGTATTAGAGTTTAATGACGGGGAAGGGAGATGGGGTTGGGCTGTAGTGAACTTAAAGATCTAATCAGTTTTAGGTGATGAAATGGCTCTACCGCAGTGGCCATTCACTCATTTGCCCCCTGGTGAAATGGCCCTATTGCAGTGGTTCTACCGTAAGATCCACTTACTTTTTTAATTTTATATAAATTTATGATAATTAGATGAGTGGAAATATATGGTTGAGAGAGTCTTACTTATATGTGTGAAAAATATAGAAAATACATTAAAAATCTTACTTGATTTATAATAACATTAAAAATCTTACTTATATATGTGAAAATATATATATATATGTGTCTTATATGATTAGAGAAAATCGTTTAAATTAAAATAAATATATATCATATGGTTATAAAAAGTATAATTAAATTTAAAGAGAAATTCGAACAACTCGATTCGATTCGACTAAAATTTTATAAACTCGATTTAACTCAAAAAAAATATTTCAAATGAAGTTTGAATCAAAATTAAAACTCATTAACTCGACTAACTTAAAAAAATTATTTGACTCAACTCGTTTGAATATTCGTCCCAAATATTGGGCATCACAGTTGGAAAACTTAGGGGTCAAACCAAGTAACAAAATTTACATATATCAAAATAATAATGAGATACAAGTTCAAAGGAAACATATCATTTAACCCTTATTATCATCATCATTAATTTTTAATTAAATAATATTTTACATTAAAGGGGTTGAAGTTGGGTTTATAGTATTTTGTTTGAGTTTAGAATTGGACTTGATCTGTAATATTGTTGGGTTAGGGTTTTGGAATTGTAAAACTAAATAGAACAGGTTCAATCAGTTTCCATCTGAGCCTTAATTACTTTCAGTTCTGAGAGAGTGGGGTAGGGAGTGAGACAGAAGAAGCTTCAGGACTGAGTAACTCTACTTTTCACAGACAAAATTTCTGAAATGCAAAATCAAGTAAAAGCATTCATACGACTAAACAAATAGAATCCAAAGTGCTTTGTACAGAGGGATGCAATACAACCTATATTACAATTGCTGTAGTTATCACCATCTTTAATTATATACTTAGATGATAATAATAATAATGCATTCATTCCTTAATGAGAGGGCATAAACTTTTTAACTTTATTTCATACACGTTATGAAAAGATAGAAGCTTCCTCGATATGTGAACTCGTGGGAGTGAGTTGTATTCTTCCCCTTCCCCTTTAGGCTTTATTACCTTTTCTTTCCTTTTACAATCTCTCTCTCTCTTAGTTTGTGCCTTAGTTACATAGGTATGCATTGGAGACAGAGAGCTTTTCTGTGACAAATTGCAGTCCCCAAAATTTTCTCTGCAACCAATAAAGGTAACTGTGGTAATGGCAGTGGCACCACCATCGTTTACTCGACAAATGAAAAGAACTGAGCCAAGATACATGCGTATCTCAAATAGTTCTACATACATACATGCATGCATGTTTCTATGTATCGAACGTAAAAGTAGGGTTGATCCACACACGATGATTGAAACTTGAAAGTAATAATGGGTGTCCACTTCGAAATTTGAGACCCAATGAATAAGGAGAGGTGAAAGAGGTTAAAAGGTAGATACTCTATGTCGGTTTCCATCATTGGCAATTAATATTGCTCTAAACAAGTTGGAGCAAAAAGAGCTTGCTAACTATGTATGATAGAAAAATGTGCATAGTTCCCAATGAAATTATATTATACACATTATGATTTTGCAGAGGCATGTGCTCCCAAACCTGTGATCTTTTGCTTTAATGGGATCATGTTTTTTTTTTAAGTTAGTGTGGCTTCGTTCTTCCCGATGATGTTGTCTGCAATGATAACAAGTAACTAACTTTAAAAGTGACGGTTTTTAAAAGTTTTCTTCATTCTACCAAGAGGAACCCGGAGATTATGAGAAGACAGTTGCTAGATATTGACCAATTTCGACTAGAGATAGATCAAGAGAGGTGACGAGATTGATTGTTCTCTAAATTTTTAATATTCTCGAATAATTTAGATGTTTTCTTTATATTTTTATTGATAATAAATTTGTATCCTGTTAAAATTTTATACACTCATCTCTTAAATATAAAATTATGCATCTATCCTGATTATGATAATGTTGTTTTCTTACGTATACTACCAAAATGTTGTCTGACGGCATCTGCTTTGTTCTTAAAGTATTTTAAAATCTTTTACTTGACCAAATACAGAAGAAAAAAAAATGAGAACATTAATTCCAAATTTGACATGCAAAACATGATATGTATAAAAGGGTAAATATACATTTTGGTACTTGAACTTAAGTCTCACGTTTAATTTGGTGCTTAATCTAGTTTTGGTCCAATTAGACATATGAACTTTATTTCATGATTCAACTAAATCATTTACTACAATTACCAAGTTGGAAACAAAAATCAAGTTCAAGTACTAATTTTAATCAAAAAGTAAAATCTAATTGGACAAAGAAAACACATTCGGTGTCAAATTGAACCTTAAACTAAGTTCAAGTACCTAATCAAACACAAAAAAATTGAAGTACCAAAATAAATATTGAAATCAAATTTGAATATCAAAATGCACATTTATCATATAAAAATAGCATTACAATGAGTAACCAAGGATTCAAATACGATAGGTTAAAAACAATTAAAAATGCAAAATATATAAAATTACCAATATCATAAAATTCGAATGATTGGAAAGTACAAATTGGTGTACTAAACTCATAATAATTAATTTAAGTGACAAATTAAGATTGACATGCATGGCACATGCATTATCATTTACCTTAGGCAAAGCCCTATTGTAATTATAATAATTATTTACTAAGCCCTAATCGAATATCAGACTCGGAGGGAGCATAATTAATTAACCTTTAAGTCTAATAATAAGCCATACGTGTGTGTTAGCAATTGATCATCCAAATGATGAATGTCTCCCCTGTGACATACTACCACTATTTATCATAGGGCTCATCCTCTCTGCCTGAAGAGGTGCCCTCCTTGGCGACGGCCTCTCCAGCTTAGGCGACTCTTCAAACTTCTTTTCGCCTATGCCATCTCCGGAAAGTACTGGCTTCGCGTCGTAAATCTCCGATATACTGTCTAGCTCGGTATTCGGGGTTGCGAGTTGAATCTGGTCGGTTTTAAAAGGATCATCTTGAGGTCCGAGACACGACGGAGCGGTTCCCAAATCTTGAAGTCGGAGTTCATCGGACCAGATCAAAGGACTCTTCCCGCTACCACTATAAGGGCTCGGTCTCTTCTTTCCGAGGCAAGAGTTATCGTTAATCGAAATGAAGTCGTCAAGCAACGGTCTATCCATGTTGTGTTGGAGATCAAGTTGGTCGCCCCCATAAATGTTGAGGTCTTGAAAGGGTGGAAAATTGAGAGGACCTAAATCTTTCATCGTTCCGATGTCGGGAATACCCTGATTTCCCATTCCTTTGTAGCCTCCGGCAGCCATGTTTTCGCCGGCTAGTGTTTGACAAGCCTTTTCCAGCATGGACTGCATATACTTTCCTTGAGCCTCAATCCTTAATTGAAGGTGTCTTTGAACCTGCCACGCATGATGAATAAGTCCATATAAAAGGTTTATCCACTGAAAAATATCCTTAAGATTTTTATTTAATTATTTTGGATCTGGTGAACGATCAAGACAAGAATATTCATACCTCCAGTTGCTCATGAAGTCTTCTCTGCACTTCCATTTGCATCCTAATCCATGCATCATGTTAGAATTACACATACGAATATCCAAAATAATTCTATTTTTAAGGGGAAAAAATGGCACAAGTAAGGGATTTATTTCCCTTTTAGATCAGATTTATATTTATTTAATTCATACCTTAGAGATCATGCAAATTTAATTTCATTTTAACTGAAATGTCCAATATATATTTATATATGAGCCAACACACCCATGCAATTGACACCGTTTTTAAAAAAAAAATATTTATAAAAATTATATGAAAAATATTAAAAATAAAATTAATATACTATTTTAAATGAATATTGATACCATCTTAATAATAATACACTTATAATTTGATCACACTCACCTAAAAAAATGTGTAATTTATATTTTAATACCGTAATTTAAATTTTTCTAACTCTCGTCTTACATGTATATATATAATAAAATCACAGCAAGTGAACAAATACATACTCGTTCATGCTACGAGCCATCATGCCAGAGGAAGATGCAGCATTTCTTTGAAGATCTGACGCCCCCGAGGAAAAAAAGAAAGAAAAAACAATTAGCTACATACATGCATATAGTGTTGATAAAGTAAACCCTAGAAAAAAAGAGTCCACCTTATGTCTTACCATCTTTTATAGTTTGATCGTTTAATTCCTTGTGAGGTTGCTTTCCAAGTCTGAATTTCTAATCCAGCAAGAAGAGATTAAAATCAGTGTAATCAAAAGAAGCAAAGAGAAAAGAGGAAAAGAGAAAATCCAAGACAACCCTACATAGCGAAGCTTGTCACAAAAGGTCTAGAACCAAAAAAAAATAAAGCAAGCATGGCATAATCGGTGTTGTATTCAAACCTGGAGATGGCTCTTAAGGTGGTAAAGTGTAAGACCCTTCACACCCATAACTCTCATGATTGTTTTCGGAGTCGCCTCTGTCAAAGTTACACAAATTATATTCATACACACAAATAATCAATTCGAAGGTGAAAGAAGAAGAAGAAAAGGGTTAATAGATGAAGTACTGTCGGGTCCTCCGAGCTGCGTAACGGCGTCGACGAAGCGTTCGTGGAGCTCGACGGTCCAACGCAGTCGAGGCTTTGGGTCAGTGGTGAGAACCAGACCAGAGTCGCCTTGAACACACATGGGTCTATCATGGGAATTCATAGTTGAAGGCTTCTTTGGTTGGAACATTCTCTCAGAGGCTTTGAGAATACCCTGAGATTCAAGAACAAATGCGATATGCAAATAGGGAGGAATAGGGTGCGTTTTCGAAGAAGAGAGGACTGCTTTCGGTTCGCTGGTTCAACTTACAATAAAAAAAAGGAATAAACCACAGGTCTCACCTTCATATAAAAAGAAAAGCAATATATATAAATATACTATAGTGTATATCTATACTAAAGTTCACCTGTTCTAACATGCACCCACTCCAAACAAAAGATACCCTAAATACGGAGTCATCAGCATACGTACAATACATTATTTTTCTACCAAAGAAGACCGTATCTTTCTACTATATCACTGCCATGCTAAAGATGCACTCATCATGGCAACTCATATGTAAACATGGACATCATCTTTTTGCCCTTATTTCATCAACCCCATTAATCATTAGTTAAAGTGCAGATATTTGCATACATGACCCGTTTTGTTGGTTTTTATAGTACAATTTTCCTTTTTTGGTTATAATGAAGTTCTAAATCTTGTGGGCTATGATGGCTTGGAAAATAAAGACAACATGGTTATCCTTTATGTCATTACCAAGAAAAAGTTTGTCATCATTTGTTGATAGGAAAATTTAATTAACTGATTCTTAACCAATTTTGTAGCTAATCAAGCTATAACCGAACTTATTTGTATTTTTTTTACTTTTGTCTTTGCCTTTCGATTAAGCAGATTTCGAGTTTGACGCTACGTGTACGTATAAAATCTTTCTTGGGGGACTCTTCCACCAAATTCAAGTGTACGACACGTGTCGATTCATATTAGTCATAACAAAATCCTGAGGAACCAGGAGGGTAACAAAAAAAACTATTTAACGTATATTTATTTATAAATAGATTAATTCAAATCGAGAATAATAGAAGAGTATCTATAGATATGACGTTTTAAATCTAATTTTTGTATTCATAACATCAAGATCCGAACCTCTGATCTTATTTAAGGAACTTAAAGCTTCATCCTATTAGAACAACTGATAATTGATTTTGTAAATAATTATTTGATGTAATATAAACTGATTTTTAACTCTATATATAAGATTAAATTTTTTTTCTTATAATAAAATAATTAGTTTCGAATTTTAGATTATCTAATTTGTATTCCATAACCAATAAGATTCATGTTTGAAGTCAAGGAGTATATAACTAACATTGATATGTGATTCCCAAACTGATGTGTGATTTTCAATTGCATTATCTCCACATATATAAAAATGCTTTGATTAGTAAATCACATACGAATAAATATGTTAATGTTAAATTTGTTTCAGTTTTTACGTGTTTAGGTTATATAAAATTTAACCTATTTTTTATTCATACTATATAAACTTAACAATTTCATATGTTCATATATTTGTCCTTTTATATTATTTTTTCCCATTATACCTTATTATGATAATTAGGGACAAGTGTAAAATTTTATATTAAGAACAGATTTATGAAATTTTAGGGGATAAAAATAAAATATTAATAAAAAATAAATACTTAAATTATGTGAGAATTTAAAATTTCCATAGTGATGATTATCCCTTCAATCCTTGAAAACTATTTTATTTCATTTGATGTTAATGACTTAATGTCATGTAATTAAGAAATTGTTTAATATAAAAATAAGTTTTAAATTATATTTTTTTAATTTAAGTGTCTAAATTATTTTTCGATCAATCGAGGTTCCTAACATACAAACGTTACCATGCTAAGTGTCTTGTCTGTAACGACGTTAAAAAATTCCGTTGCTAATTTTTTTTTAAAAAAAAATAGTGACACGTGCACGTTTAGGTAATTTAGAAAAAATATTTAAAATAAAAAATATAAAAATATGATTTCTTTTTAAAAATACCCAAATTTTTTATTTTTTAAAAAAAAAATCTCAAAAACTTTGAAAATATTTATTCTAATCACTATACCCACGCCGTCCACCGCAGTCATCATCGCCGGTCACCAGCCCTATATGCCTAGCTTTGGTAGATTTCCTCCAACGCAATCCATAAAAATTCCACGAATCTCCTTGGTGGATAAACCCGGCGACTTAGCACTCAGTAGAAGTGGGATAATTGTTTTTCATCCCGATGTTGATCAGATTGGTTTCAACGCTATTTACCGGTGATAGTTTCAGCAGCACAACCTCTTTATAAGTTCGTTTGGTCTTCAGAAACCTGATCAGTACACCACGAAACAGCCAAACCAAATTCTTGGGGAGAGAGAAAAAACATTAATTTGGGCTTGGCATTGATTGAGAGAGGTAGAGGCAAATTAATGGAGATGAAACCATGGATTCAGTCCTAATGCTTTTAGATTGCTTAAGGTTTCCAGCTTCAGGGGTTCGTTTGATTTCAAAGGACTTTCAACAGCACCTGGATTTGTTAGGTTTCAGTAGGGAGAATTTTCAAAAAAATATAAGTTTTTTCAAAATATAATAATTTATTTTTAAATTAAATTTTTTAAATTTATCATAATATGATACGTGAAACAATTGAAATGATAATATTTATAACGTTAAGCATTTGAATTAACCGAAAAAATAATTTAAACTCCTAAATAAAACAACGGTATAAATTAAGGACTTATTTTTATATTAAGTCTTGAGAAATTAAGGAGAGAAGAAAATGAATCCAATGACTTTAAGGTGTGTGGTGGGGAATGTGAGAAGTTAAACATCAATGCATAAAGAATGGAGCTTTAGACGACAGCTTGTAGTAGGGGGGGCCCCTCCCTCTTCTAAAGCTTAATTGATGGGCCTCGGTCTCTCCTTCTCTTTTGTGGAACTGAAGATTGTCCATCTCATCTCATGCATTTGCAAGCCGAATAAAACAAAATTACATCGTTTTATCATTGGGTCAAACCCACACAATGCCCTACTATTGGGTAAAATAAAGTAGTTGTAAATCAAGATGACTAAGAACATTATTTTTTAAAAGAACTTCTCCCCTATGCAAAGATGTCAAATGTGATGGGAGGTTATAAGAATATAAAAGAATTATATATAGGGTTAGAAACCACTTACATAATCTAAAACTTTTTTAGTTTTATATAGATTTAAGATCGTTTGATGAATAAAAATAGATTACTAAGATTAACTAGTTGTTTTTTCCATCTAATATCTTCTCATTTCATAAATAATTATCATGTATTTTCACTCATTTAACGGTCTTAAATCTGTGAAAAACTAAAAAGAATTTCACATTACGTAATAGGATCACATCCTTTTATATATATATATATATATATGTATATATAATTAATGCATTGAAGTATTTAATTTTGTGTTATCATTTGATTCACTGATGATGCAGAAAAATATATATTGTTAATACATCAAATATGGACCCATATGTATATATGAGGGTTGAATCTACTCACATTGGTAAAACAAAATTATCTCATATAGATGGTTAATATTAAAACAAAAGTATCTAATTTTCATTGAGATTGGAAAAGAACAATAATATACAAAGCTTTAATATCAATCATTCATCTGGATTCATCTAATCGTGTAAAACTAATGAGTTTTACATTGTCTAAGTGTATTTTAACTTTTATATATATATATATATATATATATATATATATATATATATATATATATATATATATATATATGAGAGATAAAATATGTTGATACAATATAAAATTTTCAAATTTTATAAGTTTTTGGGATTATTAAATTATCATTAGGAAATTAGAAAATTTTTATAAAAACAAGTTATATTCGATTTAAAAGTTTTAATTTTTGTCATTAAACTTAATTAATCAAACGATCCAAAAAATATGTAAAACTTTTAGTTTTATATTGTGTGAGTGAATCTTATCTCTCTCTATATATATCTATATATAGTTGAGATTAATAATAGGAAATGAGAATTTTATATTGTCCGTCTATTCTCACTCATCCAACGATCCTAAATCTGTGTAAAATTAAAAGAGTTGTACACAATGTAAATGGACCTAACTCTCTCTCTATATATCGGTCTAAGATCTTTAGGTATTTGATAGATCATATTGAATCACAATTATATCTAAAGTTGAGCTAAATCAAACCTTAAATACGAGATAAACCATCCCAAAATTAGTTTTTCTATGCATTATATTAGTTTAATTAAAAATTTACTTTGGAGACATCAAACATCTTACTCCTCAACCTAACAAATTATTGTACGTGTGTACATATATATATATATTGTTTACCAAAATCCTAGTGGGAATAAATGCTTTCTTCTATCGCAATCAAACAAAGATTCTTAAGCCAAAATAAATGCTACATCTTGAATGAAAATATAGCAATCTTGTATCTATTGGAGCTACTATGGTCTAAGTTTATTTTTTCAAATTGAGGCCTCATTTTATGGTGTTTTCAACGATCAAACCCCTAAAGATCTCAATTGATTTGTATATTCACAAACTTTTGCAACAAGTGTATTTTCGGGATTAAATTTGTATTCAAGCCATCTCTTTTGAAGTTGAGATGGATGCATATGCCATTAAATAAAATGTTTAAATATTTAAATTCATGTTCTTTTGAACTTACTAAGTGGTCTTAAATTTTAAAAGAGTGTTGTTCTTATTTGTGGTCTTAGGTTCACGCAACTGCTTATGTAGAGTGTGTGTTGTCAACGATTAATAAATATTATGAACATATATTATTTTATAATCATTTCATATTATTAAAAATAAAATCATGTGATTTTAGTACCCGTATATTTTATACGGTTGTTGTGCATGTCAAACCGATGAATAGATGCCAATAGGATTTAGTCATGGTGGTCTGAGAAAATATCATACTATATTAATATTTAAATGATATAGATCTTGTACCAAATCCTCCTTCAAGCCTTTAATCTATCACCCTTTGCTTTATTTATTGGTTTCTCATCCATATGCCCATATAAATAAATGTATAAATCAATTTATTTGTCATAAATAATTTGATATGAAATTTTTATTTGCATTATTACTTTTTAATTAATATTAAAATGATAAATTTTAAAAAAGATCGATATAACACAGTAATAAATCTACATATTTAATAATGCAATTTTTATACTTTATGAATTAATTTAATTCATATATAAGAAAAAGAATGAT